GTCTCCACAGAACAGGTCATACTGTCCACTTTGTTAGGAAAGTCCTTCTCTGCTGAGGTCACCTTTTGGTGGGTATTTACTTGGAACACAAATACCTTCACATCCTTTACCCATTTGGAGAGTCCTATCACCTACCTCTTCCCCAGTTATCTTTGTCACCAGTTTTCTAATCACACTCCTTCTCAGTCCCTGGCCGTCCAGCTAAACCCCTGTCTGCAGCCCATGAATCAGCATATAGTCACACGTCTGGCCATTTTCCTTCTAGGCAAGATGATAATCAGGTGCCCCTCCCAGACTTCTGCCTACTACAAAGCTTTCTTTTCACCTCTTCTTCAGAGATGTTCCAGAGCAAGGCTGGAAGTCATAGCTGCCCACTTTCAGGTAGGGCTTTGCATGTCATATAGACGCGTCTGCAGACTAGACCCGAGTCTTCCCTTCCTCTGCCCACTGTTTATAGGAGCTCCCTCAGGCCCAGGTGCAGGCCAGGAGAGAAGGCAGTGTAGCAGATGTACGGGCCATGCCTTTATGTAACTTACTTGTATTTTCAGGGCTGCTCAGGCCTGATCATTTAAGATACTATTTCTTTTTCTTTTTCTTTTTTTTCAGTACTGGGGTTTGAATTCAGGGCCTACACCTCAAACTTAATCCACCAGATAAGGCTCACAGACTACTTGCCCAGGCTGGCTTTTGAACTGCAGTCCTTCTGATCTCTGCCTCCTGATCAATTTTATGGCTTGGTGGGTCAGATGATGCCCAGTTATGATGAGCAGTTGGGTCACATGTACTGGGTGGCTCATGGTCAAGCATTCAGTTTCTGTTAAGACCAGTAGCAGGCCAAACCGTCTCTCAAAACGAGAGTAGTTTGGGGGCTTTTTTGTTTTAGGTTTTTCCTCTTTCGGCAGTGTTGTGGATTGAACCAGGGCTTGCATATATAGCAAGTGCTGTGCCCCTTGAGCATACCTAACCTAAAGGGACACAGTGGTTAGGATGATGTCATGGTCTTGCCCCAAAGTCCTAAAGGCCCACGCTGTGATTACCATAGACACCTGCCAAATGCTCCGACAGCATCCCTGCTGTCATCATTGGGCCTACTGGATCATAGGGCCCAAGTGGCGAGCAGCCTGGTCCCATTGCAGTGCCATTTCCTCTTCTGGGCTCCACTCAAAACTAGTAGCTTGCTGGGCACCTATGGCTCATGCCTGGAATCCTAGCTACTTGGGAGGTTGAGATCAGGAGAATCGAGGTTCAAGGTGAGAGGAGAGACCCCATCTCCAAATAATCAAAGCAAAATGGGACTGGAGGTGTGGCTCAAGAGGTAGAGCACCTGTTTTGCAAGTGCAAAGCCCTGAGTTCAAACCTAGTCCCACAAAAAAAAAAAAATCCCTGTAGCTTTTGGGGTTACTCAGTAGATGGGCTAGAGTAATGAAGTGAGGAATATGCTGCCTCTGACCATAGCACCTCTTTTTTGGTTGCAGAAGGGGCCACAACTTAGCCTTCACCTTCCAAGGTGCTTCTCCACATGCCCTCCTGCAATTTCACAGAGGTAGAAAGCCCTTCAATTTTCGTCAGATTTTTTCCTCTGATATGAAATGGCTTGCCATTAAATCTAAAGTAGTTGTTGCCTGTCATTCAGTTCAGGCAGCATGATGTTATTGTAAAGGACCAGTGAATGTCTTCATATGGGTGAAGTTGTGACCTGGGGCTGGAGACTGCTATCTCCTCCATAGGACAGTGCAGGTGTAGCACTGGCCTTGCCAGCTGAAAGCAGACTGCTTCTGGTGGGCCTTATGCACAGGGATGGGGAAAGGCACTTGCCAGGCAGTAGCTGCCTTCCAAATTCAAGAGATGCATTTAGTCAGGCAGCAAAACCACATCTGGCACAGCAGCTGCAATTGCAGTCATCATGGGATAAGCTTGTGATAATCCAAGCTTATCATGGGGGACATAGTGAGGTTTTGGGTCTCCTGGATTCAACATCAGTTGAGACCCACTCCAGTAGTACCTGAAAGGTCTGATTTTTACCTTCCCCAGTGCACAGTTACCCTGGTGAAAGACTGGGAGAAAGAGAAAGATTGGAAGTGTAAGTTTTTGGTACCAGGCTCTTTCCTCAAGGCATCCCAGGCTTCTGTTCACTCAAGGGGCTCAGGTCTGTAAATTGGCTCAAGTCGGAACTGATTGAGAGGCCAAGACTCATTTGTACAATTCAGGGTAGACTTTTGTTCACTTGACCCAGAATTTTTCTGCTAATGCCAATCCAAGAATTTATTAGGTTTTCCATCTACTTTACTTCAATAGACCAAGGTCTGTGGCTGCTTGCCTCTGCTGTCCATTATGGAAACTATACCCATCTTTGACCAGGTGAGTGCCATATCCCTGACATCCAGGATCCAGTCCCTCCCATTGCACTTAGGTTTTTCAGTTAGTTGACTTGCCTCCAGTAAGGCTCGTCTGCAGGCAATCAAAACTCTCAAGTTGCTGGGCGCTCCTCACAAATCCTCAAGGTCTATCTCACAGATCTTTAAGGTCACTGGGGCTCCCTAGAGATCTGTCTCTCAAAGCATTGTCTTCAGGATCCCACCATGTGGTGAACTGGTCCTCAACCATGTCAATGTAGCATTCCTGTTTCCTTAAGCCTTAGAATCACTTCCTGTACATTAGCCAAAGGAAATCAAGCATTTCTCATTACTCACGTGGGCATCTTCTAAGTGTCAGGCAGCCAAACAGGTAAAGCTCTTCCTAACTCCCCCAAGCTGCAATATTAAATACAGAGTCTCTGCTTAGTGGGTATGAACCAGTATATCAGTAAATCAACTTTATGTTCCTTTCCCCATTAACTCACCCTTAATATCCATCCCCATACATAAGCCCAGGTTTCTGCTTCTCTAAATTAGGTAACTCAAGCAATTGTGTGTTTTGTTTCATTGTTTGGTTTGGTTTGATTTTTTTTGAGACAGAGTTGAGGTCTGACCTCGAACTCAAGATTCTCCTGCTCTGCCTCCTGAGTGCTGAGATTACATGCATGTACCACCACGTGTGGCTCAAGTAGTTGTGGGATTTTTTTCTGTTTGTTTGTTTGTTTGTTTGTTTTGTGGTACTGGGGTTTGGACTTGAGACCTATACCTTGAGCCACTCTGCTAGCCCTTTTTTGTGAAGGGTTTTTTCAAGATAGGATCTCACAAACTGTTTGCCAAGGATAGCTTTGAACTGCGATCCCCCTCATCTGCCTGAGTAGCTAGGATTACAGGCATGAGCCACTGGCGCCTGGCTAAGTAGTTCTCTTGGACGATAGTACACTTCCTGTGGGTTAGTCCTTGTACCTCACCTTTAGGGACCTGCTGAGACTCAAGTCTAGTGACAGGTCTAGAAGCAGACAGGATGAAGGTGAGTCCTGAAGAGAATCAGCATAGTCTTGGCTGTAAAATGAAGCCATTATGTTTCTTCAGCAATGCATGGCAGGCCCCTCATACAGCTGGAAAGTCCCAGACCACTGGGGGTGGAGAGACTACTCTTGCTAGACTGGGTAGGAGGGCAATTCCATGGTGACGGGGAGACCTCCTCTACTGGCAAGGGAGACTCCAGAATGTGGAGGCTCCATTCCCCAGCTTCATCAGGGTCTTCCCACACATCCCCATGCTGCTTACAGAACCCCACTCTTTCCCCATCGGTGCCCTCATTTAGTCGATATTCTCTGAGGCTGGGAGTTCAATTTGCATTATGATTTAGCCAGTTGCAACCACCATCACTATGTCCCTTAGTTTCCAAAAAAGTGTTTGAAATATCATGTGCAGAACCCCTTAGCTCCTTGGCTCTTGTAAGTTGGTGATTGGGAGTATGTGCAGATAATTTATTTATCTCTATAAGTGGTGCACACATGGACTTTACTGCTCCCTGAATCATTCAAAGTAGAGTCTTTAGCATTTTTAGAACTAATCATATTAGAGAAATCCCAAAAACAATTAAGGAAATTCATCCTTAAAATTCTGTTTCTCTAGGCTGGGTGCTGTGGCTCTCGCCTATAATCCCAGCTACTCAATATGTAGAGATTGGGAAGACTGTGATTTAAGGCCAGCCTGGGCAAAAGTTATTGAGACTCCATCTCAACCAATAGCTGGGTGTGGGGGTGCATGCCTGTCATCCCAGCCACTTGGGAGGTGTAAATGGGAGGATTGTAGTCCTGGCCAGCCCAGGCTAAAAATTGGGGTAGACCCTATCCCAAAAACACCTAAAGCAAAAAGGACTGGAGACTTGTCTTGAGAGTCAGAGTGCCTAACCAGCAAGCACGAGGCCTGTAGGTCAACCCCCAGTACTCAAAACAAATAAATCAATCTGTCCTAATAGAACCAAATCCGTATTAAAAAGGGCTCCCCAGAGAAACAAAATCATGCCTGTGATGTGTGGCTCATGCCTGTAATCCTAGGTACTCAGGAGGCAGAAATCAGGAGGATTGCTGTTGGAAACCAGCAGGGCAAATAGTTCACGAGACCTTATCTCGAAAACAACAAAAAGGGCTGGTAGAGCAGCTCGAGTGGTAGAGTGCCTGCCTAGCAACTGTGAAGTTCCTGCTTCTCAGGTCTTAGGCTCACACTGAATCCTGTCACCAGCTCTTTTGGTCTCCTGTTTGTAGATAGCAGATCTCAGCCTCCATGAATCCATGAGCCAATTTCTGTCATTTATACTGCCACATTTGAGAGAGAGAGAGAGAGAGAGAGAGAGAGAGTATGTGTGTGTGTGTGGCACTGGGGTTCACTGTATTTATTTACTATAAAAAGAAGGGTACTTCTTTCAACAAAAAGTGACACACCTATCACCAAATTTCTTCTCCATGTTCCTGAAACCCAGCCAATACCACCAAAAGACCCAGCTGGGATTTTGTGGAAGACACCCCACAGGTTTACATGTGGAGTCCGTGTCCTGGATGCTGCATCTATGCAGTGCGATGTAACATGGGCTGTGTCTGTGCAGGTGTAACTCAGAACTACAACTATGCTGACTCAGGCGTAATGGGGGCTGCTGCTGCTTCCATGCAGGTGTGATTCCAGACTGCATCTGTTCAGATGCAATGTGGGCTGCACTGTTCCCCATCTCCTATTGGAATTTGGGAGCTTGGTCATATGTCATCAGCCATGTGTGCAGAATCTTGCCACTCAACTACTGTACAGGAGTATGAATCTGTGTACTCCTCACAACAGACACAATTGATTCCTAGGTTTTAGACTTGTGTCCAGGATGCTCACAGGAGCTGAAGCTGGGAGTCAGCTATGCTGTTCCCACATTGCCCCCTCCAGTTAGTGTGATGCTGCGTGGGCTGTCTCCGTTTGCTCGCTCCTTACCCTTTGATGAAGGTGTCATTGTGCAGATATGAAGGAGGTGCTGGCTCTGTCCTAGGTGCTGGAGAGCAGCAGTTCTCCAAAAAGACGAAAACCCCTGTGCTTGTAGCCCCAGCATGCTGGTAGAGTGGGGCCTCACTGCACAGCTTCCCCAAGGCACAGCTTCAGGTTGCCCAAGAGATAGCAGGATAGCATCCCAAGAGAGGCACTGAAAGGACATGCCCTCACGTGTGGTCACTTACTAACTGGGGCCAGCAGAGGGGCCAGCAGAAGAGGCTGTGCTGACAACATGCTGGACATTTCACCTGGAGTCCAGCTGTGCTGCTCTTTGCTTCCCTCTGAACTTTATGCTCCAGGATGCTTTCCGGGCTCAGAATGTCCTGGATTTATCTTTTGAAATCACCTGCAGAGGGTTTCCATTTAGAATTCTTTGGGACCAAAGGACTTTTCCCATCATGGATGAATTCTACTTTTGGGAACAGCAGGGGATATGGGCATTAAGCCAGGGCCTGAAATGACCAGTTGGTCAGGAAAAGACCAACTGTGCCTTCTAAGTGATGAGCCTCCTTGGTGGGGCCAAGGTCATCTCCAAAGGAGTTTCAAGAGGGCTCTGGCCAGGAGGTGGTTCCCAGCCATGGACAGGTGGGCCCCTGGTGGCACTTGACTGGCCATGCCATGCCTGGATGGCTTTTCATGCTCTTGTCTCAGCAAGGTGTCAGGCAGCCCTCCCAGACACCAGGAGCATGGATTTGTCATTTCAGAGGCAGCTCTGTCTCCGGAAGCAAGAAACCTTGAGCTAGTACTGCTCCAACTCTCACTCCTGCTGGAAACTTGGGTAGCATTTGCTGGGCTGTGGCTATAAACAGTCAACCCGTGGCAGCCCTCAGGGGCCAAGGGCCTTTGGGCATAGATCTGATCCCCATGGGTCAGTCTGTCCACGATTAAGCCAGGGTCAATCTCATGGCTCCGATTTCTGGTTTCAGAAGATCTTTCTGTCCATTAGTGACTTGTCAGAGGAAGAACTGACTCAACGGGGCAATGATTCTTCTTGAAAAGTAAGCTATGAGATGTTTAACTTTTACATGTGTGCTTATAGGCTGTGGATGAAAGGAAATCTTTTCTTGTTAGTCAGCCACAGGTTATAAGCCACTGGAGGAGACGTAGATTGCTTATTGATTGATTTTTTTCATCTAACAAGTATTTTGTAATATAAACTGCATGCTGGGTGCTCTGGGCTCTGGGGTTGAGTGTGAATACCTGACACACCTGGGTATGACTGCCCTCCCAGACAATTAGATACCCTGTGTCCATTTGACCACCTAAAGTCATTAAGGTCTGTAGTTCTGGCCTTTCCTAGGCTATTTCCTGCCTTGGACACAGAGCAGGGAAGGGTCAGGAATGCCAGGGAGGGGTGAGACTCATCTTTTAGTTAGAGCGGTCAGAAAGGGCTCCCTGAGAAGAGGACATTGGTGAGGGGAGGGCTCAGATGGAAGGAGGCAAGAACCAGTATGCTCAGGGACCCCATCAGAGAGTAGTGCTCAAGTTTGGAGTGGGAGTGCTCAAGGTCGAGGTGGGCCCACAAGACCTTGCAGGCCATCCAAGTGACAGTGGAAACCTGTGGGGGCTTTGAGCAGCATAGTGATGTGAACCCAGTTGCCTTAATTGAGGAGAGACTGGGCTGGAGGTGGGAGAGCTAGCCGGTAGGCTGCTGGGGTGGACCTGAGCAGTGGGGACTTGATGGTGAGACTCTGGATCCACCTAGAAGGGAGAGAAGTAGGACATCTGAGGGTCTGAGGGGGCAGCAAAAAGAAGGTGTGAGAAGCAGGTGTTGAGGATGACACCAGGTTTGGGCCACATCACCTGAAGTGCTGCCAGTTGTTGAGATGGGAGTGCATGAGAGGAGGACAGTGGAGAGACAGACTGGGAGTGTGGTTGGTTAGGTTGGTGTAAGGTCCTGGATGCCCAAGTGGACATGTCAAAGAAAAGTAGATTTCTCACCAGAGCTCTGGAAAGAGGGAGCCTGGAGCGATCACCAAAGCATGGGTGTAGACACAGGCCCTGGAGCCTGAGATGCCAAGGGGAGGGCATGTCCTGCTGGCCAGCAAGATTGGAGGGGCAGGCAGGGCATCTGGAAGCAAGGGGAATAGGAGGTAGGGGAGTATGGAGCAGCACTGGGCTGCTGTGCTGGGCCAGGTCTTACCTACGTAATGCTGGGTTCCTGCCCTCTAGTGGTCACAGCCTGCAAATCTCTCCCCCATGGATCAACATTCTGACAAAAACCAAATTTCATGATCTTGTAGTTTGTGATAATGATTTTCATGTGCTGATTCCACTAAGGGACTCTTGTGTGACCCTACATTTCATTTTTGCCTTTCAGAAAATTTAAAAAGTAAAGAATATTTTTTTCAGTTATACTTTGTGAGACAGAAAGAAGTAAGTTCAGAACTCAAAGGTGCACAGCTGCTGGTGCAAAACTGTCTGTTATCACCAGTCACAGGGTCCTGTCCTCCAGAGCGGGAGAGGGTGCTTCAAAGAGCGGGGGGAAGATGCAGCCACACTCTTGACAGCACACTCAATGTTGGGTCAAGCCTTGCTTAGCCCTTCTTTCAGGTCACTGAGTCTAATCAAAGGTAGTGACCCCAAGGTGGGAATGTAGGTAGGCAGGATCTGGGGGTCCCATGTTGACACTGTAAATCCTTGAGCAGTTAGTCCTCTGTCTGTACACTACAGCTTCCCCTGTGCCAAGCAAAACCAGAACGAGAGAGACAAATCATGCCTGTCTCAGGTCACTTTTCTGTTGCAGTAACAGGGTACCTGATACTGGTAGTGTATAAAGAATCAGTCTTATTTGGCTTATGATTCTAGTGACTGGAAGGTCCAAGCAGCATGGCACCAGCATCTTCTGAGGACCCCTGGCTGGCCAGGTAACAGAAAAATGGAAAGGACCAGATTCAGAAGGGCACATGTGTGATTCTGGAAGGAGGAGGGAGTGGACTTTCCTGTCTGCTCCGGAGAGCTAGCCCGACCCTGCAAGAACCACACCTGCATCTCTGGGGGTGAACAGCCATCCCTGGAAGGTCTGCACCTCAGTACCAGATACAGGGACCAAGCTTCAGGAAGAAACCTTGGGGACCTCACATTCATACCACAGCACAGACCCTTGGTGGGAAAGCACTGAGGCTTTATTGCTGTTTATGCAATGCTCTGCCCATGGGCACATGGGAAGGGTGTGAAGTTATAGCCCGCATGGGGGCAGGGCTGCTTTTCCCAATGTCACCAACCCCAGTGTTTCTGCAACAGTTTGTTGGGCTCTGTGTCCCACCTACCCCAGCTCACTGATACGCAAGTCTGCTGGCCCCACTGTCCTTTCACTGTGTCCCCTCTGTTCTAGGAACTGCTGCTGGAATTTGAGTCTGAAATGCAGAAGAGGGAGCATGAATTCCGACTAAAGGCTGATAACATGAGCAACGTGGTCTTGTCCCACGAGCTCAAGGTAACTAGCACCTTGCTTTGAAAGTTTTGAAAGCTTCTCCTCATCAATAGTGAGCACCCGTCTTTAAGTGGTAAGGTGAATTCTAAACCTTGAATTAGTTCACACAGACTTCGTGGGTAGGGGTCTCAGTTGCATGAAGCCTGGGTGGTGCTCGGATCTGGTGAGGCGCTGGGCCCCTCGCTGCATTGTCTTGTGATGCCATCTTGGAGATATTCTCTACAGTCAGAAGGGCTGGTGCCCAGCCACTGTCAGCCTTCCAGGTCCCTGAGGAAGTACCCCCTTTCAGGGGGCCCCTGTCATCATCCTGTTTTCCATGAGACCCTTGAAATGGCTGGTGAGAGTTAACTCACCATTTTACAATAGAGGAAGCCAAGGCTCAGGGGCTTCAGGGCCTGTCTGAAGCCATCAGATGGTGTGAGATAGAGCTGGAGCCAGAGCCCTGCCCCTGCCTCTACCTGTGCACAAAGTGAGTGGCACCCCAGACACTGTTGGGGTGGGCAAGGATCCTCTACCCCTAACCTTTGGCACTTGGGATAAGGACCAGTCTTAAGGGGCTGTACCTAGGTAGGACTACTACTGCTTCAGGTAGGGGATTGGAGGGTGATGCCTGGGCTGGTTCCTGTGGTCACTGCTGGGTCAGCATCCATGGTTGGTACTGGGCCCTATTCCAGACTTTCTAGCCTCCCACAGCACAGTAGTCCAAGGTTACCACAGGTCCAGCAGGAGGCCCAAGGACCATGGCAGGCAATGGACAAGCAATTGGAATGGCTGGGGCTTAGACCAGGCAACCCCCAGTTTCACCTCTGCATATAAACATCATTTCCCCGTCAGACAATGCCAGCAGAGGCTGTCACACTCCCACTCGTCCCAGAACCCTGTGTGAGCACAATGGTAGCCCCTCCTCAGGAGTGCATCCCCTTCTTCCACACCTGGAGGCAATGCTGACCTCTTAGCTAGAGACCTGAGTTGTATGGCCCTCAAGGCCGGGGGTGGGACGGTGGTGATTCAAGGCCAGGGAAGCCTCACGGCCACTTTGGGAACCTCTGAACAGCAAAGGCAATGGGGAATGGGGGCGGGGGTGGAGGAGGAGACGGGGTGTGTGTGGACACAGCTTATAATACATAAGTATTGCATCATAGCCATGTCACAGAAGCTTAGCTGAGACCACACACAGGTGGAATTGGGTGGGGTCCTCACTATTGAGCCTTGCTCTTGGCTTACTTTAATATTTAATGTCAAGTGTTGTGCTGGGCATCTGGTAGCTCATGCCTGTAATCCTAGCTACTCAAGAGGTTGAGATTAGGAGGATCTCAGTTCAAAGCCTTTCCCAGGCAAATAGTTCACGAGATTCTATCTCAAAAATACCCAACATAAACAAAAAGGGAGTTGCTCAAGTGATAAAAGTGCCTGTTTAGCAAGTATAAGGCCTGAGTTCAAATCCCACTGTCACCAAAAAATAAATAAACAAACTGGGTGTGGATCTATAAAGGCCCTCATGGACTGGGATCTGATTTTGGTGCATGCAGAAGACCTGAGTCTGCCTTGGATATCTGCCAGGGACGGTTTGAGGACTTCTTATATCCCTGCTTCCTGAAGGTTGAAATGGCAGTATTTACTTCTGACTCCTCAGCTTATGCCAATTAGAGCCTCATTCTGAGTTTTTATACACTTCTTTTTGGCAATACTGGGATTTGAACTCAGGGTGCTAGGCAGGCACTCTGTCTTGACCCACTCTGCCAGCTAAAATAAGTGACTGGTGCATAATAGGTGACTAGTGTTATTAGTTTAGCTTTTTTTTTTTTTTTTGGTGGTAGTGGGGTTTGAACTCAGATCCTCACGCTTGCTAAGCAGGTGCTCTACCACTTGAGCCACTCCACCAACCCTTCATTCTGAGTTTAAAATAATTTAAATTGATACCTAGTTGTACATATTGATGGGGTACTGTACGATATTTCAATACATGTGGCACACAGTGTATGATCAGGTCAGGGTGGTTGGCACATCCATCATCCCAGACATTTGTCATCTCTTGGTGTTGGGGACATTCAGATTCCTCTGTGCTGGCTGTTCTGTCAACCATGTCACCCTCCATACTGCAGAGCCTCAGAAGCAATCCTCTTGCCCAGCTGTTCTCCTTCAAACTTTTGAAATCTTTCTCAGGTTAAACTTGCAAACAAAGAGCTGGAGGCTCTGAAGGAGGCTGGAGCCCAGGCAGCAAAGTCTCTGCAGAGGGCTGAGGCGGTGAATGCTGAGCTGGAGAGGAGGCTGCAGGGCCAGGCCTGGGAGCTCCAGGGCCTGGAAGCCGCAAAAGATGCCCGGTGCGTGGGTTCTCCTGGAGGAGCAAGGCATCTGGACTTGCTCCAGGCCTGTCTTTGTTTAGTCTCTTGTCTGTTCTACCACTGATACTGTTTCTGTTCAGGATAAAAGACTTGGAGGATAAGCTTCACTCTCTGCAGCTGACCAGGAGAAAAGAAGAGGAAACATTTAAGAGGAAGTAAGTATTTCTGCTTGGGTCAATACCCCAGGAAGGGAAATAGGCCTACAGAACCCAGCTCATGGTCCCTGGAGTAAAGGGCCCTGTTACAGGTCAGACCTGGGACACAGCTTTTGTTCTATGCTGGTGCTCTGTTCTGGGCTTCCTTAAAGAGGTTTAGGCCTTCAGTGTCTTCAGACTTTTTAAGTTCTGAGGGTGTGGTTCAGTGAACACAGGCTTACATGCATGAGGCCCTGAGTTCAATCTCTAATGCCAAAAAATAAAACTTCAGTTAAAAGTTACTTTTCAACCAGGTGCCAGTGGCTGATACCTGCAATCCTCACTATTCAGGAGGCAAAGATCAGGAAGATCATGGTTGGAAGCCAGCCCTAGAAAATAGTTTGTGAGACCCTATCTTGAAAATACCCAACATAAAAAAGGGCTAGTGGAGTGGCTCAAGTGGTAGAGTGCCTGCCTAGCAAGTGTGAGGCCCTGAGTTCAAAAAAAGTTATTTTTCAAACTTGAAAGTTTCATCAACTAGTTAATAAGTTTTTGATTGTAGCCACAAACTTCACCTTGTTGATACAGTCACCTTTTGTTCCCATGGATCTGAACTTCTCTGAGTTGTGAAGAGCCCTTCTTTGACCTCTGAAACTCTGTGTGGGTCATGTGGCCCAGCAACATAGGTTCTGGGTGTGCCTGGTGCCGACAGTTGTCATGGAACACCCAGAAAGTAGAGGGTATGGTGGCCTGAGGTAGTGGTCCTGACAGGGAAGTTGGGGAATTAAACCACAGCTGCAACAGGGGAAGCTAGAATAGGTAGTGCAGAGTAGGCATTCTGAGAAGGGGCAGGACAGCAGGGTGGCTCTCAGGATGGGAGTTGAAGCTACAGATGGGCCAGTGAGCGAGCTCATGGGAGAACCCCAGACCTGGTGTTTCTGCTGAATACTGTCTTGGGAATGCCCTTTCTGGAGAGGCAATAGGGCTCCCCATATCAGCCCAGGTGTCTGGATGAGGCAGGCCAGGCTCTAAGTACCCTTACTCGCACTCAAGCCCAGACAGTGTTGGGCATGGTGGCTCGTGTCTATAATCCTAGTTATTTGGGAGGCTGAGACCAGGAGTATCATGGTTCAAGGCCAGCAAATAGTTCATGAAACCCTACTTCCAAAATTAACCAGAGCAAAATGGACTGGAGGTATGGCTCAAACAGTAGAGCACCTATTTTGCAAGTATGAATCCCTGAGTTCAAACCCTAGTCCCACCAAAAACAACCCAGACAGAGCTTCATGGGTTCGGTAGCAGTGTCTCTAGAATTTCACTCCCAAGTCACATGCCATGGGCCACCTGTGGTCTCCCACTTGTGGTTGCACCTTTGGATTGATTGTCTTTGGTGATAGCAGAGAATAGGTGGTGATCTTTGCACCACCATCCCACGGACCTGATACTTTCTGCTCCAAGGTTGAAAGGTGAGAAAAACAAACACTAAATCTCCCACCTTCGACCAGCATGGCATTTCTCAATGTAAGAGCTGCTACGATGAGTACCAGAACAGTAGGGATTTTTTGTTTTGGTGTGACTGGGGTTTGAACTCAGGGCTTTGGACTTGCTAGGCAGGCACTCTTACCTCTTGAGCCACATCTCTAGCCCTAGTACAGTGTCTTTAAAATAAAATGCTTTTGTCTTGTCAAGGGCTTCACAGTTTCTCCTTAAAACCTTGAGCTTTCAAATGTAGTTTCAGCATGGGGGGAGCACGTTGAGCAGATTCCTCCAGGGCACAGGTGGCCCTCCCTGTGAAGCCCGAGCCCAGTCAGGCTTGTGCTGCAGTCTGACTTCAGATGAGCATATTGTGCTTGAGGGAATAACAAGACAAGTGAGTCGTGGAGCATACCTTGCAAAAAGAATCACAGACGAAGAATTCAGTGCCCAGAGAAGGCCAGCTTAGTCCTGGCATTACTCCAGCGTAAGGCAGTGAGCAGCTGTGCTCTTGTTTTTGTGAGTTGCCTAGGAATCTTGGGGATGGCACTAAGATTGTGCCTGTTTTTGGAGTCTGTTTTGTGGGGGATCAAGAGTTCTGGAAGGTGTCCAGGGATCTGAGAATGATTTGGTCTCAATGGCTGGTCCTCATTCAGCCACAAGCAAGTGCTTTGTGACTCCGGCAAACGTAAGAGGCTGACGTGGCCTGCAGAGTCAGCCATCTCACCAGGAAGACCACAGTGTGCGAAAAAGTGATGAACACTGTGGAAGGTTCCCGGCTCTGGGTAAGCTGTTGAGGGACTCCTCCCTGTGTTTCAGGCATGAGGAGCTGGATCATCTGGCCAGGGAGAGGGACTTGATGCTGACAGCAGTGAAGGGTGCCCACATGGAGCAGCTGCAGACCCTGAAGTCCAGGGTGCTGGAGCTGCAGGCCCAGTGCAAGACCCTCGAGGGACAGGTGCACAAGGCTGAGTGCACTCAGCTACTGCTGCCAAGGAAAAGGACTCTGTCATCAGCAAGTGAGCCTGCCTTCTCTGGATCATGGCAGCCACGGTGCTCCTGGGAAACAGTGCAGCGGGGTGGGGATGGTCACTTCCTCAGCCCTTTGGGCATCTTTTTAATTTTTTTTTCTTTTTTTCCTTTCTTACTTTTAACTGGAAAATGTGTGTTGAATGTCACCATGAGCCACCTCAATCCAGCAGGCTCTGAGAACGTCATGGCTCACCTTTGCATTCTACATACCTGGCACTTGGCCTTTTATAGGCGTTCAGTCCATGTCTGGGTTGATGGTGTGCATAGCTGGCTGGATGTATATTTCTTCCTGGGTAGAACCATTGCCTTCATCTAGCAAGGAAGTTTCAGTTCTGCTGTGGCTTTTCCTTGGAGGCTGGGTGTGTGTGCACATGCACACACATATTGGAGGTGTTGCAGAGGACAGAGTTTGAGGGAGTAAGCAAGAACCTTTACCACATTCACATAGTTCCTTCTACACAGACTCCATGAAGATGCAGCAGCTCTAAAAGCTGGCTGGGATGCCCAGATTGCTCAGATGTCCAAAGAGGCAATCTCCAAAGACGTTCAGGTTCAGATGCTGCAGGAAGAGGAAGCGAAGCTTAAGGCACAGGTGGCCAGGTTCCAGCAGGACATAGACAGGTAACGTCCCCAATGCAGCCGTTTCTGTTGAGCACCTCCTGTGGATGGGAACTGTTCTAGTCCCATCTAGTGGCTAAGGATTTGAACTGAACAAGTCAAGTCCTGGGGAGAAAGAGTAAGTGAGAAACAGAAACAGGAGGTGGTGATGAGAAGGGGAGGGTGAGAGTAAGCAGACTGTCAGGGAGGGCATGCTCGAAGGAGTCTGTCCATGTGTATCAAGAGCTGCACAAGAACCACTGCTGCAGGACCCAGGCTGAACTCTTGCCTCCTGCACCCTTCGATTACTTGTTGTCATCCTGGTTTTTCTCATCCGTTGCATGAACACACGAGTGACTAAAGATAATACCCTACTTTCTGTAATGTTTTAAAATCAACTTTATTGAGGAATAATTCAGATATAATACAACATCTGTTTTAATACAATCAATCATGATGGATATAGGCACCTATTCCCCACCACTGCAGTCGTCCCTACCCAGTACTCACTGTTTGCTGTCACGCATGAGAGTCTTCCTTGACCGAAATTCCAGCTGCATGGAACCCAACTATGGTTTTTTATGTCTGGCCTCTTTGGTTTAACGTTTTCATTTGAGATCAGAGCAGGCTGCCAGTAGCAAGGTGTTGATTTCTTTACAGTTTGAGTCTACAACAGTTTATTTCGGATTTTCCTGTTTTCTATTTTTCTGTCAATTTTGGTAATTTGCATCTGCCTGTCCACTTCATCTAGTTGTTGACTAGTAGGCATAAAATTGTTCATGGTGTTCTTTTATTATCTCCCAGTGTGTGATGTTATAGTGATAATCTGTCTCGTTCTTTTTTTTTTTTTCTTTCCAGCATGGGGTTTAAACTCAAGGCCTCACGTTTGCTAGGCAGGGGCTCTACCACTTGAGTCACACCTCCAGACCTTTTTGCTTTAGTTATTTTTCCAGGTAGGGTCTCCAATATTTGCCCAGAGATAGCCTTGAACTGTAATCCTCTCAATCTCTGCCTCCCAAGAAGCTGAGGTGACAGGCATGTGACACCATACCTGGCTGCCTCTCTCATTTTTTTCCCCCCAGTACCAGGGTTTGAACTCAGGGTCCTGTGCTTGCTAGGCAGGTGCTCCACCACTTGAGCCATGCCCCCAACCCCTTCCTCTCTCATTCTTCACATTGATGATTTGTATTTTCTTTATCCACTAATCAGCCTAGCTAGAGGCTTAAAACTTTATTGATCTTTGCAAAGAATCAGCTTTTGCTATTTTCTGAATTGTTTTCTTATTCTCAATTTCATTGATACCTACTCTTTATTGTTTTCTTTCTTTTATTTCCTTTAGCTTTAATTTTCTGTTCTGATGACTCCTAATAGTAGGAGCCCACATGATTACTTCTGAGCCATTCCTCTTTTCTACTAGAAGCAGTTAGTACTCTAAGTTTCCTTTGAAGCTTAACTGCATCCTGTAAATTCTGGTATCATGAAGTTAAAATATTTTCTGATTTCCCTTGTGATTTCTTCTTTGGTCAGTGTGTAATTAGACCTAATTTCACATTATTTTGAGACTTCCAGACACCATTTGTTCCTGATTTCTAATCCAGTTCTGTCGAGGATACAGAACACATCCTGCATTGTTTCCTCTGAACTTCTCTGTTTCATGTCTTTGGAATGTGTTCTGCCTTGGTGTCTGGCAAAGTAGACTTGAGGAGAATATCTTCCCCTTTGGGCTCAGGGCTCTGAAAGGTCATGTGGGCCACATTGCCTGTTGGTGTTTTTGTTTTCCTATCCTTGTGATCTGTCTACCGGTTCTGTCAGTTACAGAGAGAAAAGTGTGGAAATCAACTGTAATGCAGTAAGGTTCTTCATTAAGTATGAGTACATTCAGTATTGGAATGCCTTCCTGATACCTTTTACTAGTAGAAACAGCCCTGTTTGCACCTTGTGATGGCATTGATGGGCTACCTGAGCCCCTCCTGACAGTGCCCACATGGCGCATTTTGGCACATCACCAGCCTATCTTTAACCTGCACTCCGGTGGGGGCGCACTCTGTAGTCTTACTCTGATATCTCTGTGTGTTCCTCAGATGACTTCAACTGTTGGGTTTTAAATCTGTTGACTTCATCCCTTCTCTCCCTGTACATGGGCTGTTCTGCTTCCTCAGTGTGACCACCTCCTTCATGGCACTGGGTTTTCTGCAGCGTTCGGCACTCCTCATCATCTGCCAGTTGCATCGGCCTATCCACAGATGCTGCCTGTCCTCCATGTCACAATTACAGAAACTCCTCTGCGCATCCTGTGTCAGCATAGCTATGCTGAAGTTGGGAGGGATGCGGTTGCATCTCACCTTTGTTCTTCACATGAGGGGACCTCAGGAAATTTAATGTCCACAGGTACAAACAACAACTGTCACTGGCAATTGAAAGGGAACGGAGCCTGGAGCGTGACCAGGTGCAGCTGGGCCTGGACTGGCAGCGCCGCTGTGATGCTGTTGAACGGGACCAGATCCAGAGGTCAGAGGCTTTGATCCAGAGCCTGACCGAGGCCAGAAATCAGGTGTGTGTGGTGCTGCAGGGCACCAGACCTTCTTAGTTGCTGCTGGATGGCTGGGAGCACAGGCAGTTCTGTGGCAGAATAAGTTTGACTCTCACCACAATATTGTCCTAATTTTCACTGGCCGGTTGATTTGTGGCATCACATGTCACAGGAAGACCAGGTATGGTGCTGCACTAGTCACAGTAATGAGAAAATGTCCTTGCCCTGTCCTCCAGCCTTGGACAGTGTTTCATTGTTTCTCCCCCTGACTGGCAGCATGGTTTTGGCAGTACAGGGATGATCTGGCCTGTTGTGTGCAGTTCACCTAGCAGCCGGGGTGCTGTGGCTGAGCAGGAAGAACTTGGCTGCCCACCACAGCAAGGGTGGCCCCAATGCTCTGAATGCTGCATGCAGCCTAGTTCTCATGGCTTTTCACCTGCTCCTGCTGTCTGCTTCGTAAGCAGAAAGAAGGCTGATCTCTGTACCCTCGGAGCCAACACTGCTCATAATCCACAAATGGGTGTTTTCTCAGGTGGCCGCTAAGCTCCAGGAGACTGAACGAGTACTGCATGAGCAGGAGGTGGTGCTGAGGGCTGTGGCCCTGGAGCGAGACCAGGCCATGGAGACACTGCAGACACACGGGCTTCTCTCTGGACAGGATGTGCAGGTGAGCATACCTCTCTTCCCTGAGCTGAGCCTCCCTGCAGCCCTGTGACTCCTCCTCCACCACTGCAGTGGGAAGCAGCACCAATTGCACCAAAATAGGGTGAGGCCTTCTCAGTCATCCTCATAATGACTGCTGTGGAAACAAGGGTGAAACTTAGTCCTTGAAGAGTTCAAGTGGATATGCACAGCATGCAGTCTTCTTTGTACCTTCAGCATTTGAAAACTCTGAAAACCCCACATCCAACTATAACTTGGGACTGGGGTCGGGCTCAGTGGTAGAGTGCATGCTTAGCATGTACAAGGCCCTGGGTTCCATCCCCAGCACTGAAAAAAGAAAAAAAAAAAAATCCCCAAACTGATTCAATACTAGTTGCTAATGTAGAATCACTGTTACGTGTTTTCCACAGACCTGTGCAATGGGCCATTCCGTGCCTGGATCTGTCTACAGTTCCTAGTTTTGCTTGGCAGGAACAAAAGTAGCCAGTAGCTATTAACTACTTATCCTGTGCTACCATCTTCCTAAGACCACAACATCTGTCAATTTGCTTCCTCTTGGGAGCTGGTGCTATGGCCAGTGAGGCCCAAAGACCAGAGGGCAGGGCAGCAGCAGTCTGAGAGGGCAGGAACAGTGGTGTTCCAGCCTGTGATGGCTATAGTTTCTCCCTGCCAGTCTTTTGATGAGGTGAGGTGTATTCACACAGGTGAAATGCATAGGTCCTGGAGTTCAGGGCCATGAGTCTGGCAGGTGAGTGGACTCAGATGGGCAGGACTCCCTCCAGGGGCTCTGTAGATCCTAACCAATGTTAAGAATGTTTGAAGCTGAGTGCTAGTAGCTTGTGCCTGTGATCGTAGCTACTCAAGAGGCAGAGATCAGGAGGATCGAAGTTCAAAGCCAGCCTGGGCAAATATTTCGTGAGACCCTATCTGAAAAAAATGCATCGCATAAAAGGGCTGGTGGAGTGGCTCAAGGTATAGGCCCTGAGTTCAAACCTCAGTACTGCGAAAAAAAAAAAAAAAGTGTTTGAGGGCTAGGGGCATGGCTCAAGTAGCAGAGCATTTGCCTAGCAAGCATGAAGCCAAGTTCAAACTCCAGTACCACCAAAAACAACCAACAATGTTTGAGCCAGGTGCTGGTGGCTCACACCTGTAATTCTAGCTACTTGAGAGGCTGAGATTAGGAGAATTGCTGTTTGAGGCTGAGCAAATAATTTAAGACCCCATCTCAAAAAAATTTTTTGGAGACCCCATTTCCAAAAAATACCCAGAGAAAAATAGAGTGGAGATGTGTCTTAGGTGGTAGAGCGCATGGTTTCCAAATGCAAGCCCCTACCCCTACCCCCCAAAAAAAGGAATGTTTGAGATTTTACTGGGCACAGTGGCATAGCCTATAATCCCAGCTCTCAGGAGGCAGGAGTATCAAGAATTCTAAGTCAGCCTGGGCTACGAAGAAAGACCATGTCTCAAAAAAGAAAAAAAAAAATTGTGACTTGTCACTGATTAGCAATTTTATCCTCACCATCCTCCTGTGGAATGCACAGAACCCAGGAGCAATTCCTCCCCAAGTGTTGAGTCTGAGTGTACCTGTGAGGAGCCTGCTTCTCTAGGATGAGTCTTAACAGACATAAGAGACTGTTTGGCTATGTGCACTCTTAGAGGATGGGCAGGTGAGGATGCTGAGGGTTCCTCAGTCGGCTGGCATGAAGGAGGAAGGAGCAGGAATGTTAGAGGCAAGAGCCAGCCCCAGAGGATGCCAGCATCTCACCACCACATTGTTGCTGGCCAAGTGACTTACTCATTTTTAAATCACAAAATAATGCTTCCTAGCCTGTTGGCTTCATTGGTTTGTGGTGCTTATTTTGGAAAATTCAGCATGCTTCTAAATGTTCAGAGTGAAATCTCATGAAAGCCATGTGCCTTTTCATAATCAAAGGCTTGGGTAAGAGATTCGAACTTTGTCCCATAGACTCTGGGCCTCAGAGTGACTGGGTGATCAGAGCCTATGAGAATGTTGTTCTCCCTCCACATATACATCCTTAGCAGTCCTGTAGCCAAGGACAGTCTGATACAGACTACAGAACACCTGCGGGCTGAGTGTGTCCCTTAAAACACACAGGTTTGGGGGCTGGAAGTGTAACTCCATGGTAAAGCACTTGCCTAGCATGCACAAGACCCTGAGTTCATTACAATCAATCAGTGAATCCTTAAAGTAGCATTAAAAAAAACAAAAAAAAACCCCAAAAACCACAGGTTTATGTCCTGACCACAGAGCTTTAGAGTGTGACCTCACTGGAGGTCAGGCTGCCGCAGATGTAGATAGTTGAGGTTGTGCTGGGGTAGGGTAGGGGAGCGGACACAGAAGTACACCTGATGACGGCCATGTGATAGCACAGGCAGAGATCAGAGTGATACAATTACATGCCCAGGGGCACTAGGGATTGCTGCAACCTCCAGAAGCTCACAGAGGCCTGGAATAGATCTACTCTAGAGCCTCCATGGGCAGCATAGCCCTCCCTACATCTCCATTTCAGGCTTTGGGCCTGCGGAACTGTGAGAAAATAAATTGCTGTTTCAAACCACCAAGGTTGTGGTAATTTGTGATGGAACCTGTGCCATCTACTGAAGGTCAGCCTGGCAGCTCTCATACTCGGACCTAAATGGCAGTGAGCCTCAGAGGCTGTTTTAGTTTGTGTGCGCCTGAGGACAAGACTGCATTTAGCAACACTTCTCCGTACCTTGTTCAAGGAGCCATTAATATTGTCAATTCGAACATTTGCCCCTTTATAGAAAGTCATTCACCTCATTGTCTGGGGCTAGAGAGGCAGTAAAATCCTTTAGGGACTTCTCAGGGTGCCTAGGCCTGCCTCCCAGGCCTGCCTTTCCCCTGCTGCCAGCTGCCAGACCCTAGGAAGGCAGTACACTGACATTCTCGCTGCAGCACAAGGGGACACTCCTGTGCCTGTTCTGGGAGTGCCTGTGTTCCTGGTAGAAGGCAGCTCTGCAGGGCCTGGCCTCTGTGCTGCAGGCTGGAAAGGCAGATGGGAGCTGAGCAGCTGAAGGTGGTGTCCAAGCTTGCCAAGAAAGCACATCTCTCCTCTGTGAGCAGTTTCAGGAACAATAGCTCTGCAGTCCCCAGCCTTGACCCAAGTCAGAATCCCCTAGAGGCCAGGCATTGCTGGCTCACATCTGTAATCCTAGCTACTTGAGAAGCTGTGATTGGGAGGATCGCAGTTTGAGCCAGCCCAGGCAAATAGCATGAGACCCTCATCTCCAAAATATCCAGAGCAAAATGAACTGGAGGTGTGGCTCAAGCAGTAGAGCACCAACTTTGCACTTGCAAAAGTTAAACCCTAGTGCTACTACTAAAAAAAAAAAAAAGGGAATTCTGTGGAGAGCTTAATAAAAACACACCCTCTAAGTGGGGAGCCCCAGAGATTAAGCTCCAGGGAAACCCCAGTGACAGTGTCAGGCTCGCATCATGAGCAGGGACAATTTGCTCCTTCCAAGGTTCCAAGGAATAGGGGGTGGGGCTTCCAGTTATTGGTATCCAAGGTCTCCTCACCATCCAGGCTTTGGAGATTCACAGGTGGCCTTTGCATGGTCATATGTGAGATGCTCACATACACACAGGGGAGACCTTCTGTGGACAGATGACAGAGAAAACATGGAGTTCCCCACCATTCCATTGGATTTTTCCCTGGCTGGCAATCAAAAGAAGATGTTTGATTTCAAGTTCTAGCTAAGCTGTCAGGAGGCCATTGGTTGCTGTTTTCTTTGTTAAATAAACAATTAGCCAAACAAGTGGGTTCTGGAGTCAGGAACAAGGTGCACTGTACCCTTTCCCTGAAGAGCATCCTTGATCTTGGACAAGAACCAAAGTTTGTGGTTTCCTACCTCCTGTGAGCTCATCCTCTAACCACTGTGGCCCCCAGAACCAGTCTGCTGACACAAGCATATATCCTGGCCTTTGAATGGAATGACTGGCTTCAGGACCAAGACTCAGTAGAGAGAAGCCTTCACCAGCTTCTAGATGGCAACACAACATGAAAGTCTGAATCAAATCCAGCAATGATAGCCAAATACTGCACCTCCTGGCCTCAGGGCATCACTAACGAGCAGTATAGACAAACCACATAGTAAGCTGTAGATGTGGACTTGTGGCTGCCTGTGTGTCTTTTACAGACCCGGCTAGGAGCATATCAGGGCACCAGCCTCTGGATAAAGCCAGGGCTATTCTGTGCAGGAAGCAGGCTTCCACACTATATGGTATGCACGTGGCTGTGTCTTGAGATGTCTACCACAGGGACTACCTTTGACACCTGTGGACAGCAGAAACCTCTGGGAGGGCTCACTGATAACACTGCATTTACAATCCAGGGCAGACCAGAAGGCTGCACTTCTGGCAGTTCAGTGTCACTTCAGGGGTCCTGGGAGGGAGAGAATGCAGCCAGTCTGCTACCAAAAAAGGCTTCTCAGCCAACTTGATGTCACAGAGATGAGGTGGCACAGACACAGGTAGCGTGGACCTGAGGAGCCAACCAGGCTCCCCTGGTGCTTTACTGTCCTCCCACTTCATATGTGGAGGCTGTGGCCCCAGAGATGCAGCTGCATTGCCCCCTGAGAGGTGCTGGCAGAGTTCAGGGGAGCCAGGCTCTCCTCAGGGCTCACACCCCTGATCACTGTGCTGTCTATTGCCAAGGAGGCAGTGGGAAGCACCCGCCAGTCATGACCAAGGGGAGGCTGAGTGGTTGCAGGGACTGAATCTTCCCCATCTTTTCACAGATCTGTCTCACATAAGAGGTGAGGGGTGAAGCCTGAGGAGATGGTGCTGGAAGGCAGTCTGGCTCAGGGATTGGGGTTGAGAGAAGAGACAGCTTTTTTGTGGAAAGAAAAGAAATATGTCCAATACAACAACTTAAAAAGCTATGGGTTAGCATAGGGGTCTTTGAAATTAAGCAGAATGAGGCCAGACCCAGCTCAGCTGCTTTCTCAGCCTTATGGAGTCTGCTCTTGTCACTGTGAAGGGAGGGTAGCTTCATCAGTGATTTTGCCTGAAATCCACATTTCTAGAGAGCACCTAGAACAGGACATTGAGAGTGGGTTGAGCACATAGTGACTGTCAGTATTGGAGGGGCTACCCCTCAGGTGAGCATTTCACTGGGAAATTCTTTAAATTCTGCTGTCAGTATTTCTCAAGTCATGGAAATTCCTCAGAAACAACCCGTTTACCACTTTAAAAAAAAAAAAGTCTGCCCTTTGTGTGTTTTGTTTGTGTTTTCTTACTTAGGATCACTAAAGGTCTTATGTTTAGGTCTGCAGGCCTGTGGTTTCATCAGATTTGGAACACTTTTGGCTACATTGTGAGATCCCCTTTTGGGCCCCTCTTGCTTCTCTGCGTGTCTGTTTGTCTGCATCCTTGGACCGCGGGCCTCTGGAGCTCTGCTTACTTTTTTTCTCTCTTGACCTCTCTCCGACTTCAGTTTGGATATTTTCCATTTCTGTGTGTTTATAGTGACAGTTCTTTTCTTCTGTGCATTCCAGTCTGCTCTTGACTATAGTCTACCCAGTGAATTTTGTTGTGATGAAATATACATAAAATACATAAAAACAAATTTTCAGGGCAGCTGTCACCACCATCCATCTTCCTTCTTTCCAAACTGAATCTCTATCCCCATTACCCACTAGCCCCCCTATTCTCCCTTCCTGAGCTCCTGGCACTCCTAACCTCTGCCGTCTGTCTCTATGAATCTGACTACTCTAGGGACCCCCAAATGTGGAGCATTTCACGAATTCCTATGTCTTTCAGGTGCTCAGGTTAGGAAGGGTCATTGCAGCCCTTGAGAACAGGTGAGGAGTGAGCAGGGCCCAGGAGAGGGAGTGGGGACTTTTTGCCTCTTTGAGTCTGTAACACTCTTCTGTTGTGTGTGTGCTTAACAGATACCAAAGCAGCACAAAGGAGAAATAAGTAAGGAGTTTCCATCCACTGAGATCCAGCAGCTGCAAGAGCAGAACACAAGCTTGCGGAATGCTGTCACACAGATGAGGAGGGAAATGGAGGCACTAAGCAGTCAGATCCCTCCTATGCAGTTAGGAGAGAGACTGGGGGCAAACAGGCCCGATTGTAGGGCTGGAGGAGATGCAGCCCCACCTGGTAAGGACAAGAGAGGGAAAAGGAGGGAAGGAGACTGTGTGGGGAGAGGGCAGACAGATGTCATTTCCGAGGCTCACAAGTTGACATCCAGGGCTAAGGGTGTAGCTCAGTGGTAGAGTGCTCGCCCAGCAGGACCCTGGGTTCCATTCCTAGCACTGGAAAAAAAAAAAAAGTATATCAGTTGTTTTTCCCCCAAGAGAAGACCCTAAGATTCATTTTGAAAAACATTGGGCTAGGAGAGTGACTCAAGTGGTAAAGCACCTGCTTGGCAAGCTTAAGGCCCCATGCCCAAGCCCCAATATGGCAGAAAAGAGGAGGGGAAGTGTTTTTCCTGGTAATGTGGAGGGGAAAGTACAGGGCTTAACACATAACACACCTGGAAGCCCACAGTCAGAGTAGGTAGGGCAGTGTGGCTGGTAGCAGGGGTGTGGGAGCCAGGCCTTCTCCAGAGGCGCAGCCTGTGGTAGAACTGCGGTAGCAGCTGCCACCCATGCCTGGCTTGCAGTTGACGCCACCAGTGCTTTTGGGAGAACAGTACCTGAGATGGGAGTTGATCTCTTCTTTGCACAAAGCCTGTGGGGTGGAGGTGGGCAAGGCCCCTGCTCTGGGGCTGAGCCCTTCCTGGAGGACACGGAGGCTGGATGGGTCTCTGGAGGTACACTCTGGAGAATGAGGGGAGGAAGGTCCTGAGGGGCAGGAGGGAGAGGACAGGGACAGGAGAAGCGGGAGAGCCAAGCAAGTTCTGTGCCTGTGGAATGGACATGAGGTACAAAAGTTTGTGAGTGTATGGTGTTCCTGGTGTTTCTGTCAGATTATGCTCTGGCCCTTGAAGCAGAAGTGCGAAACCTGCAGCAGAAATTTAAAACCCTGGAAGAGCAGCTAGAAGGTGTGTCAGAGCCTCCAAAGATGTCCTCAGGCACTGTGGATCTGCACCCTGATGCCTGCATCTCCACAGAGACCCCAGGTGAGGGTCTCTGTTACCTGCATGCTGTGTCCCACTGTCTTCTTGAAAACTAAAATGTGTCCCTAAGGAAAACCTTCCACATGCAGGGCACAGCTCAAGGGTCCTTCTAGTGATCAGTATCTCATTAGCAGACCCCAGATTTCTGAGTTAGCCATCTTTACCCCATAGTCTCATATAAATGAAGTGACATGGTACATGACCTTTTGACTGGACCCTTTTGATCTGCTCTGTGTCTCAGTTGGCAATTCCAGACTGCTGTTAAGGCAGCTGTGGATTTATACTCCAGCAGTAGTCAGAAAGACAGCCTGCCAACATGCACAGTCCACTGTCCCCTGGCAGCCATTCTAGGGCTGCTTGGCACAGCTGTCACAGCTAATTTGCACATCCTTGTGTGTTGATGAAATTGGACATCTTTTCCTGTGTCCTTTGGAGCTGAGTCTTCATCTGCTTGGGCTGCCATGGTAAAATACCACAGGCCAGGCTTAGACAGACACCATCGCGTGCTCTGAGGCCACAGAGTCCCAAACAGTCTTCACCAAGTGCAAAACTCAAGGTTTGCTACTTGATTCTGCCTGGTTTCTCACCTGAGCCCCTCAGGGATTGCCACAGACTCTCACCTTCACGGCGTGGGGCAGAACGTGGGGGTGGGAGCAGCGAGAGCAGGTGCTTTCTCTGGTCCTGTGGCTCTAGGGAGACGGCTTTTCTGGGACCTTTTTATTTATTTACTTATTTTTTTTGGACAAAGCTCATTGGCATTTTTAGTGTGTGCATTCCTCTGCACTCAAGCCAGGACGTTCAGGAAAAAAGAGAACAGGAAACTCACACTTCATCATCCCCTGGCCCACAATCCTCACCTTTCAGAACCTACCCACAGCTGTGGTACTTTTAGCCAGGCTTTTAGTTGTGATTAGTGAGGAGAATAGGGCAGAATGTGCTTGCTCCATCTTGTCAGACTGTCCTTGCAGTTCTGGAATATGCCCAATGCATTTTGGTATATTCTTCCCTGTATGTACTGCCAGGTCTGGTGTACTGATCTTTCACTGAGAACTGCCACATTTGTGCTCAAGGTTAAGATGGGCCTGTCATTTCCTTCCTCATGACACTCATGTCACGGTGTGGAGCTGAGATTATTGTGGTCTCATAAATATATTCCCACCAGATTTATGCTAAGCTTTCCTTAAACAATTGGTAGGATTCAGCTTTGAAATCACTAGGATCTGTAGTTTTCCTTGTAGGAAGGTTCTAAACTATGAGCTCAGTTATTCATAGTTATGGGACTACCCAGATTTTCTTTTATTTCTTGGGTGGGATTGGGGTTTGAACTCTGGGCTTCATGCTTGCAAAGCAGGTACTCCATGGCTTGAGCCACACCTCCAGTCTATTGTGTTTTTTGATGTTACATTATTCAAAGAAATTGTCCCTTTCATCTACACTTTCAAACTTCTGGCATAAACTAGGCATGGTGGTACATGCCTATAATCCCAGCTGCTCAGGAGGTAGAGGAAGGAGGATCAAAAGTTTAAGACAAGAGGGTGTGGCTCAAGTGGTAGAGGCCCTACCTAGCAAACTCAAGGCCCTGAATTCAAAACTCAATTCCACCAATAAATAAATGAATAAATAAATAAATAAATAAAACAAAAAGAGTTCAAGACCAGCTGGAACAAAGTTAACAAGATCCTGTCTCAAAACAGAATAGAGGGCTGGCAGAGTGGCCCCGCTTAGCAAGCATGAAGGCCCTGTGTTCAAACTCTAGTACCACAAAAAAAAAAAGAAAGAAAGAAAAAGAAAAGGAAGGTCAAAACAAAATACAATGAAAGGACTGGGGGTGGGGTAATGGCTCCAGTGGTAAAGTGATTGCCCTGCATGTCTGAGGTCCTGAGTTCAATCCCAGAACGACAAGGGGGTTGGAGATAGACTAACTTCTGGCATGAAGCTGCTTATCAGATGAGATTTGTTTGCTTGCTTAGACAGGTCTTGTGTTACTTTAGCTGACTTCAACCCCTAGCTCCTCCTGCCTGCCTCAGCTTCCTGAATAGCTGGGATTACAAGTGCATACCATCTGTCCTATGCATTTTTAAATGTCCATAGGATATTTTTTCATCCATTAGATTGGTGGTATGCTTCTGTTCCCTTTTGTTCTTTCTTGTCTAATCTTACCAGGGAAGGAGTTATGTATTTATTTATTTATTTTTGGCCTTTTCAAAAAGTCAAGCATGGGGCTGGCAGAGTGGCTTAAGTGGTAGAGCACCTGCCTAGCAAGCATGAGACCCTGAGTTCAAACCCCAGTCCTGCCAAAAAAAAAAAAAAAAAGTCAGGCTTCAGTTTTGTTGATCCTCTATTATATATATTTTCTCTTTCCTTGGTATCTTATTTTGGCGGGGGCAGTATTGGGGTTTAAACTCAGGGCCTCATGCTTGCTAGTCAGGCACTCTCTCACTTGAGTCAGTCTACCAGCCCTGTTTTGTGTTGGGTGTTTTCGAGATAGGGTCTCTCAGGCTATTTGTCAACTCTGGCTTTGAACCACCATCCTCCTGATCTCTGCCTCCTGAGTAGGGTTACAGCCGTGAGCCACTGGCACCTGGCCTATTTCCTCAATTTCTAATATTGACTTTAGTCTGTCTTTTCTTCTACTTTATTTGGGCTTTTTGTTTTTGTTTTGTTTTGTTTTGTTTTTGTTTGAGACAGGGTTTCACTATGTAGCTCAGGCTGGCCTTGAATTTCCTGATCATCCTGCCTCAGCTTCTGAGTGCTTACAGGTGTGCACCACCATACCTGGCTTCTTTTTCTAATTTCTTGAGCTAAATGTTCAGTTAATGGATCTTCAGCCTTTCTTCTTTTCTGTAATGTACACCTAAAGCAATAAATGTTCTTGAGAGGTCAGCTTTAGAAGCACTCCTTAAGGTTGGATAAGTAGTACTGTTATTATCATTCAGTTCCAAATAACTTTTAGCATATTGTCACTTCTTTGGCCAGTATTATTTGAATGTCTTTTGCTTCCCAGGCAGATGGCATGAGCACTAGTCTCCATCAGCTCTGACATGGTGAGTTTGGGTTTGTCTTGCATGTCTTGTTTCACGTACAGCATGTCTCTTATCTTTGCAGGGACCCAGATCCCTGGAGTCAGGGAAGGACATGTTCACCGTAAAGTCACCCAGCAGCCCCACAGGAGCACTCTGGGAGAGTATGCTCATCCCCAGGGAGGCTGGTCCTAGCATTCTAGATTTGAGCCTGACAGAGTTGCTCTTCTCTACAGGAGGATCTGCCCAAGCTGGCCAGGTGTGCACTAGACTGGCGCTCAGGAAGCTTGGAGATAGGGTGCAGCTCTTGACCTTGCTGGTGATGCAGCTCAAAAACAAGGTGAGATGCTCCTGCTGACCCTTGAGGTTGTGCAGATCTTCCTACCTGAGCATCAAGGTGTGGGCTCTGAGTAGTGCAGGTGTGACTCCCATGACCTTTGGCATCCTTGTTGCTGTTTCCTTCTGAGCAAAGAGCTGTTGTGAGCAGTCACCATTTATCCTGTGTGTCCATAGAAGGTGCACAGGGACAATCTGATAAGCGAGAGAAGAGATCTCAACAGAGGGCAGCTCCAGGGCAGGACATGCAGGGCCCTGTACAGATAGAGTCTGAGTCCAGCTTCTATTACTTAGTATGATGTTTTCAATGTTTGCCTGTATTGTAGGTGTGTCGGTGCTTTGTTCTTTTGATGGCTGTACTGATAATATTCCATTGAGTGGATGGGTACGTCTTCTCTCTGCACACGCCTGTGCATGGACACTGGGTTAGCTGTTGTGAATAATACAGCAGCAAGCGTTCCTGTACCTCTCTCTCTGTGGAGGCTCATGTTCAGTTTGGGGCATTGGTGTGTCATACGGTGACACTGGGCTTCACTCTGAGGAGCCACGGACGGTGTCCAAAGCAGCAGCACCATTTACATTCCCACCAGCAGCGTAGGAAGGTTCTGCTTTCTTACATCCTCACCAGCACCAGCTACTTTGTGTTTTATTCTAGCCATGTGAGTGGGTGTAAGGTGGTATGCAGTAACCCTGTCAGAGGCTTCTTGGCAGCACTGGCAAGGTGATGCCAAGATCCAGAGTGGGGTCTCACAGCCAACCTGTTGCCTGCTGCCCACCGTTGTTCCTGTGGCCTGTGACTTCCCTTCTGAACCTGCCGCACATGTCTACCATTGAGTTCGAAATCAGTGCCCTGCACTTGCTAGACAAGCATTCTACACTCAAGCCATGCCTCCAACCCCTTTTTGCTTTAGTGACTTTTCAGGTATGGTCCTGTGTTTTTGTCCCAGGGCCAGCCTGGATCTCAGTCCTCCTATTTAAACTTCCAGAATACCTGAGATGACAGGTGTGTACTCCCATACCCAGCCCCAGGTCTGCCTTTTGTCCACTCCCAGGTCATTTTTTGCCTTTTGATAGTCTCTGCCCTCCTTCTCTCTTCCCTTTCACTCCTTTCCATCTGCCCTTTCATTGACAGAAAAGACCCTTGCAGTTTTCTAGGGGCAGTGTGCCCCACCCTGGGATTAGGGCTCAGAAGAAGGCTATAATACACAGCCACAAATGGACTATCCCAAGCCAGCTTTGGGGTCCAGAGTGTGGGCAGCATAGGAGTGTAACATGTGGGGCAGGTTTGCAGGTGTTCATGTCCAGCTAAGAGGAGAGACTGGCCACTGGGCTCTTCTCTGCCCCGCCTTGCTTTCTATTCTTCCCTGGCCATCTGCCCCTCCCACCTTATCCTAATGCTGCCTCTGAAATGGCCCCCTAGGTTCGGCAGAAGCCCCTGGTGCTGGACACCATCCAGCGTGAGCTTTCACATGGGGTGGACCAGGTGCACCTGGAGGTTTTGGAGCTGTGGAAGCAGGTAGCTGAGCTGGAGGAGCATCTTGGAGCAGTCCGGCAGGAAGGTGGGGAGTCTTCCCAGCAGAGGCAACCCAAGAGAGAGGTAGGTGCCCTTGTGTGACCACCTTGGCCTCTCTACACTGGCCTCTTGAGCTCCTGCTGCTGAGGGCAGGCTTTTTGGCTGATGCTCTGCCACGTCTCTGGTCTGCATGGCTTGCGACAAAGTCTACCTAGAGGTTGGACCCCTGCCTCCACCCTTCTTCTTTCCCTCCACTGTCCTGCCATGCGGCCTTGCTCCTGCCTTTGCCCCTTCTTCAGCTGGCCTCACTGGGGTGGATTTGCAGCCCACACTCATACTCCCTTCAGCTGAACTGTCTTCAGGAAGTTCACGCTGCGAGTGCTGTCATCTCCTCCTGGGTCAAGCCTGGACCGCTTGGAAGAGGGATCTGCCTGCACAGGCCTGGGACCCATGGGAGATGGGGCCACGTGGCTCGCACCACAGCCTCCAGAGCTGTGGCTTTGCCTCCTTTATCTTGGGTCTGGCCAGCCCTCAGCATCAAGTGCCCACCCAACCCATGACTGGGTCTGAGCCATGGAACAGGTCTTGAACACTGACTCTGAGTTTAGCAGGCCAATAAGCTCTTTCTCCTTACCCAAGACCCTGATGGAAAGGTAGGAAGGGCCACTTCCCTCTTTCCTCTGGGTTCCTCTAAGGCCCTGCTACTCGGCGCAGTGACCTGTGGTGACCTGTGGTGATCTGTACTGACCTGCAGTTACCTTTGGTTTCCTGAGGTTACCTGCAGTAACCTACAGTGACCTGTAATTTGGTTACCTGTAAATGACCTGTGGTGACCTGCGATTGCGAAAGGTGCCCTAATAGTCACCAAAGGTTTTAGGGAAGTAGAATGATGTCTGGAGCCATGCATGGAGATGCTTGCCTGAAAACCAGTAGTTGGGAGGCTAAGGTAGGAGGATATCAAGTTTAAGGGTATCCTGGGCTATGTAGTGAGACCTTGTCTTAAAAAAAATAAAAAGGCAGAATAATGTCTGCAAGGCACTCAGATCCCTCTAGCAGGAGCAGCCCAAAAGCTGAAGACAGTGCATGTGCCCTTGTACCACCAAGCTTTGAGAGCAGGTATTCAGGACGCAAGGGGGACGCAGCCCAGGGTCTCTAGCACAGCCGTGCCTAGGAAGTGATAGGAAAAAAAACACACGTGCATGGACTGAGGGAGCCAAAGCCCCAGCTGATGCTCAGTCATCGGGCACTAAAGGGCTCTACTGGCCAGTAATAAAGTCCCCAAGAACCCTAAGACCAGCCTTCCCTGAGCTCCCAGACCTCCTTACGATTAGCAACTCCAGGGTTAACTCATGGGGACCCTGGCCCAGCTAAGTGATGGCCATGTTTATCCCCCAGGTTTCCCTCCTGCACCAGCAGCAGCTCCTCTGTCTGGCAGTCAAGGACCTGTGAGCCCTTGTCAGCTGCTGCCACAGTGCTTTATTCCTACTTATTCAGAATGAACAGGCAACAAATTATGCATATAAGCAAACAATTGAAATGGAGGTGCTATACTCTGTAGCAGACATGCTGGACTGAAGCAATATGAATCCCAAGCCTAGTTCTCCCTGGGGCAAGGGCCAGGCAGGTATTTCTGAGCCTGTATTGGAGGATATAAAACACAGTGGTCAGGCTCTCCTGCTTCCTGTGGGCCTGAGTGCCCTGTAACCTTGGCAAGGTATGAGGTCACTCTCTGGGTGAAAATGGGAGGCTCAGAGAGCATGAGTGGCCCACTTCCCAGCCATGCATCTGACACCTTTAATGAGTGCTGGGTGCCAGGCTTCTCATCTCCAGGAGAGGAGAGGCCAGGAGGTCAGCATTCCTGGGGTCAGGTGGAGCTGGCACCCTCCGTGTCAGCAATGTCCACAGCTGTCATTCCAGATTTGTAGAGAAATGGATGGAAACACACATGCACGTGTCCCCACCTCTGTCCCTGAGGGCTGAGAAGCAGCTGTGAGCCCCTGTGCCCAGAGGCTGGTTCTGAATTTCCTGTTCTGCTGGGACCAGGGCTCCTTAGTACTGCTTTCAGCATGGGATATGTGAGGAGAGTACAGATGCCAGCTGTAAGGGGCTCCTCTGACCAAATCTAGAGCAGTAAGTAATGATAGAAAGGATTAAGAAATCACAAGTCAGCCTGGCATTGGTGGTTCTCACCTGTAATCCTGCCTACTCAGGAGGCAGAGATCAGGAGGACTGCAGTTCAAAGCCAGTCCAGGCAAATAGTTTATGAGACCCTAATCTTGAAAAAAAAAAAACCCATCCCAAAAAAAGGGCTGTTGAAGTGGCTCAAGGTGTGGGTCCTGAGTTCAACCCAAGTACTGCATAAGAAATTGCAAGTCCATCCTGGGGCAAATAAGTGAGTCAGTGAGGACAATGGGAAGCAGAGATAGCACTGAGCAGACAATGGAGGGATGCAGAACAAAGGCAGGGGCTCAGCGGGAACATGGCATACTAGCCTCCTGTCAGACAGCATCTCCCCAAGGTTTCCAAGAGGACAGAGTTGCCTTCTCAACAAAGACGCCTGTGGGACCCCAGCCTGCCCCAGCTCCCAATATCAAGACACACAATGTCCTGTGCCTCCCAGTAGGATGCACTTGGGACTTGTTCCTGGGGTTCCCGAAATGTGGAACCTGAACCTTAGTACAAAGTCAGCACAGACAATACCAGAGGGCTGTGCCACAAGTTGGCTTGGAGTCTTCAGGGTGTCAGTGTCAAAAGTCACCAGGGACCCTCCAGCTGCAGGCCCAGGAGACTGGCATGAGATTGCCATATTGGGCCTGGGACCTGGATCGGAAAATAAAACTGGAAAGGCGTGGTCAGGATACTAGGAGAGATCTGCATGTGGCCTTGGATTGACCTTGTGCCCACACATCCTATGTGGGAAGTGCAGACTGGAGCGAGAGAGTGGAGTGGGTCTGCCACTTGCAGACTAGAGGGTGGACGTGGAGGCATGTACTCCAGTGTTTCAGAAGGGGCTTATGTGGATGGAGGCAGTGATGGAGCAGAACCAGCTGTCTCCAGGGTGGGAATCAGGCAGAGTCCAGCAACTGTCCTTGCAACTCTCAGTTGAAAGCTAGTCCACCCCTCCCTTACCCAACCAAGGAGCAAGGAGTCTACAAAGTTGGCCACACATGCCTGCCCAGAGGGAAAGGTGTATGGTGGGTGGGGTGCTACTCTTCACCCCGGCCCAACCTGAGCTAGGTCATGCAGCTGCGGCTTGGCCAACCAGCCACCCCATGCTGCCAGGCCACAGCACCCACATCAACCCCTTCTTGCCCCAGCCTTTCAGCCTGTGCCTGGCATGGAAGGCAGTAGGAGGGACGATTCCTGGGGCCACTTGGTGGCAGTGATGGCTACCTAGAAGCTTTGGCCTCACAATGGGGGAGGAGGGCCTGGACTGGCCTGGCCTGGTGGACTTCCTCTGAGCCCAGAGGGGTGTGCTGGCTCTGTCTGCAATCTCCTGCAACTCTGGTCAGTCCCTGGCAAATATCAGTGACACACTTCAGCAAGTCAGATTTCTCTGGATCTTTACTGTCCAGGCCCTTCCCTTAGCAGTATGCTGGCACGATGTGGGGAGGGTGCCTGGGTGAGTGCAGGCAGATGTGCTGCCACAGTACCTGTTGGGGAGGGGAGCTTAGTTCAAATGATGTCACTGAATGTCTCTGTGGAACCTTTATTTCAGGGAACAATTTAGAGAGTTATAACAATAAATTTTATTTATTTATTTGGTGGGACTAGGGTTTGAACTCAGCTTCATTGCTTGCAAAGCAGGCGCCCTACTGCTTGAGCTACACTTCAAGTCCACTTTGCTCTGGTTATTTTGAAGATGGAGGTCTCACGAACTATTTGCCCTGGGCCGGCTTTGAACTGCAATCCTCCTAATCTCAGCCTTCCAAGTAGCTGGGATTACAGGCTTGAGCCACTGGTGTCTGGCTTCAAAATAAACTTTAACCAAGTAAAATTTTATCAGAAACTGAGCCCAGGAAGTTCCACTACAGTCCCAGGCATGCATGTTCAGTGTCAGGACCAAGGTCCTGGGCTGAAGCCATGCCCCCACACTGCCAAGCTGCTGGACCACTCGAGTGATATGACCAGGGTGAAGGGTCCACATGTGGAGAGCAAATTTTCCTTGAAATCTCTAGGTGTTAAGGTTTGCCAAGGCTGTTTCAGAACAAATCTTTACTCATTAAAGTAACTACGTACTAACAAAATTAGAGATAAGGGCAAAATAGTTTCTGCTGGGTATTGAGGGGGTGGGGGGGAGAAGGAGGGGGCGGAGTGGGTGGTAAGGGAGGGGGTGGGGGCAGGGGGGAGAAATGACCCAAGCATTGTATGCACATATGAATAATAAAAAAATAAAAAAAAAAAAAGTAACTGTGTACTTGTAGAGCCCTGGGCCTAGAGAAGACTGGGATCCTGCTTGGGATATGTGGAGCCCAGTCCTTCCCTTCCTCCAGGTCTGCCCCACTCTCCCCAGGCCTGAGCCTCAGGTACTTTGTCTCCAAAGGCAGACTGGTTGAGGGCAGAGGCACAGGTCACATGCCCTGAAAGGCATAGGGGTTTGGCGTGCCCAGGCCTGCCACAAGGCTGCCTGGCCTGGCTCATCTGTGAGGCCATCAGACTTTCTCTGTCCAAGAGTAAAGACAGGTGCTTCCCTGCTGTTGTCACACCATGACTCCCTCCATCCCTACTAGCCTGCAGCACATGCCAGAGGCATCATGGCATAGTCACCTGGTACAGTCACCCATATGCTCCTGGGCCACCTGTGGAATAGCAGCACCCAGAGGGCACAGCCCCTTGCCAGGCCTGGAGAAGACCAGGAAGCTGCAGAGCAGGATGTGCAGGTCATTCCAGGGTGTGAGCTCTTGTGGTCAGGGCAGGGGAGCCACCTGGCTTCTCACAGGTGTGAGGGACAGCTGAGCTGAGCCCCAGAGCCTGAGTGTAATTGGTCTCTCCTGTGTCCTGTTCTTGTCCCATACATCCTCTCATGTTGCTACTACACTTCTGCGAGGCAGAACCACACTGAACTGCAGGCCAGACTGAACCTCACGGCACTTCCCAGGTGTTCTCATCTAGGCTTGGCCCAGGCCCATTATCTCTGTGTCAGCCTCCTCCCTCAACTGCCTGTGCTTTCTCCCTGCACCTTTCAGGGTGGGAACCACAGCTGATCGGCAGTGTGGTAAGGGATGCCCAATAGGCAGGTAGAGAAAGGAGCAAGCCAGAGAGGAAAAGGTAGGACAAGCCAGCCTGTGGAGAGCAGAAATGAGGTGGAGGCCCAGCTAGCACAGTCCAGAGCATAAGAGCAGAGTGGAGCCCACAGCAGAGGGCGAGAAGGAGTAGATCCAGCACCACAGCCCACACAGGGTGCAGCTTTCAGGTCTGGGGGCTCGCTGAAGTCAGGTGGGGCAGACCTTTGTTCATGGGAATAGAGCCCACCATGGGCCCTGGGAGAGTCCTGTGCTACTTGGGTGTTAGTGAGTTCTTAAGCTCTCCCTTTAAAAGCCAAGACTCCAGCAGGGCAGGGCAGGGCAGGGACTGTGGAAGGAGGCATCAGGGAGGCTACAAGAGCCTCTGGCCAGCGGGAAAGGGCCAAGGAACTAGGGCAAAGTAATAAAGGTCAGTCTGTGACCCTTGAGATGGGGGCCTGGTTTATCCCGTTCCTTGTAAAGAAGATACTGCAGTCCCCTCTCCCCACCACCACCACCACCACTGTTGAAGCGTGAGGGACAGACACTTCAGTGTCTTTCCTTTGGCGGGATGTCACCAGTGAGATGGACAGCAATGCTGGCTCTGGAGGGGCAGCGGGGAGCCCAGTGGGCAGCACAGCACCACTCTGACTGCACCTTGATCCTTCCTTTTCCCCACAGCAGGCCTGTTATTACGTGGTCTTACAGAGCTGTCTATTGTGTGGCTTTCATTTATAGGGCCTCACTGATGGGAGACCTATGGACACTGAGAACCAGGGGCAATTCCCCACGTATCCCCAGCCAGTGGCACAGCCCCTGCAGACCTTATCTGCACCCTACCTGCAGCGGAAGCTAAAGGAAGCAACCAGAAAAATCCTAAGCCTCTGCCTGGAAAAGGAGCAGCTCATCGAAATGGGGAACCGCATGCGCTCTGAGCTAGGCCATGTTAAAGGTGAGTCCTGGGAATAGGATGGGGACCAAGCTGTATGGGCCTAGGAGTAGCAGGAAGGAGAGGGGTACCCTGGAACCACCAGGGAAGGCAAGCCCACGAGCCTGGTACAGAGGGAGGACTATAGGCCAGACTTCTTAGGAAGGCTGGCAGAGAACAGAGGCCACTCATGGTGGAATGCCCAGCCAGACTTGCAGGTACAGGACCCAGGTGCATCTCAGTGCTGGGTATTCCCCGGGCCCACTTCTCTGGCCACATATGTGAGGACACAGCTATAGAACAGTGAAGTTTATGTGTGGCAGACAGCAAGGCAGCCTGCTCCCAGGCCAGCCTGCTATGGACTTTCCTAGATAGTGGCAGCGGTGTCTCCTGACGGAGGCTGAGGCCAGGACCACAGATGTTTGACCAATTTCCTAGGAAAGGCAAGCAACACCAAATCCCAGACTCTAAAAAAGACTCAAGAGAGCCGGGTGCCAGTGGTTCATGCCTGTAATCCTAGCTACTTGGGAGATTGAGATTGGGAGAATCATGGTTTAAGTCCAGTCCAGACAAAAAGTTCATAAGACCTCATGTCAAACCAACCAGTAACTGGGTGAGGTGGCTTGCTCCTGTCATCCGAAGCTACAAGGGAAGCTGAGATCAGGAGGATCGTGGTTCCAGGACAGCCCAGGCAAAAGAGTTTGTAAGACCCCATCTGAATGGGAAAAAAACCTATGTTTGGTGGCACAGGCCTGTCATCCCAGAAACCACAGAAAGCCTAAACCAGGAGGATCACAGTCTAGGTCAGCTTGGAAAAAAAAGAATGAGACCTTACTTCCAAAATAACAGCAAAAACAGTTGAAGGAATGACTCATGTGATAAAGTGTCTTCCTAGCAAGTGTGAGTTCCTCCAGTGCCACAAAAAAAAAAAAAAAAAAGTCGCAAGACAGACTGTACTCAGAAATATCCAGAGTGGCCATGGAGAAGCAGAGCTCTAAGCTCTAACTCAAAGGTCCCATCCCATGATGCCTGCGCACATGGCCTCTCAAGCAGGAGCCTCGCCCTGCACATCCTGGTGGCAACAGCACTTCCAGGCTATGCTGGATTGGTCCCTTGTTTTTCCCTCTGGCATTGAAGCACATGTCCATTTCTCTACACAGCCTCCCTTTGCCTGGATACCCTCTGCCCTTGTTTCTTCAGCAAGATGCCAACCACCAAGCTTTGAGTCATTGGGATGATCCCAAAAGCCAGGCTCTGGGGAGTGTACTGGCTGTCATCACCTCTCTGACACTGTGCTAAAGGCAGGTCATGGGCCTGGGAGCAGGTGGACAGTAAACAAGCTGCAGATATTAGCAAGTTGGCCATCTTTCTCAAGAGCCAAGAGCACTGCAGAGGGCCAGGGACAGCAGTACCTCTGTCCCTAAGCACTGGACTCTTCAGAAATCACCATGACAGGGTAGGGGAGGCAGGGCGTTAAACATCACCCTCCAGCCTCTGCCCAGGATTGGCTGCAGGGCTGATGGGCTGATGGTTGCCATCTTCTGCAGCTTCTGAAGTTCCCTAGTGATGAAGGGACCCAGCATCAGGCTCCCGGGAGCACTGTGTCCCAAGGAGAGGCTTACAGTGGCCTAGGCATTTAAGGCTCCACTTCTCTCCGTCTCTTCTGGTAGTGCTGGAGTTTGAACTGAGGACCACATGCTTGCTAGGCAGGCACTCTACTGCTTGAACCATGCTTCCAGCCCTCCACTTTCTTTCTCTCAATTCCCTTCTGTTCTGCTGTCTTCTAAACCACCAACACCTTCCCCATCTGAACCTGCTCTTTGACCTTGGCCTCTATACCACGCTCTGCCAATTCTGACACAGGTATTTTCTTTGATGGCAGCCATGCCACCCTCTCCCTCTCATTCCAATGCATTTGTCTTTCCTGTTGTTATGGCCTCCTATAGCCAGCCTGACCCTATGGCCAAGTGTTTCCAGAGTCACCCACCCTTCTTTCTGCCCACCCACTTATCCATCTGTCCGTGCACCCTCCCATCTATCCAGTTGTAAAGCCTCTGCTGGGTGCAGATTAATTCCTGCCTTCTTCAGTTTCTGTGTGTCACTAGGCCCAAGTCTGGCGAAACCCACTGTCCCCTGTGCCTAGGCCTGCTCCTGACTGCCCTACAGCATCAGAGAAAGTCACAATTCCCCAGTGACTAAACTTGCAGCCTCCTTTGAAGATTAGAGCAACCTCAGTATGAAACTTTCCATACTTGGTGTCTTTTGTCCCCCCACTCTTGGGGATGGAACCCAGGGCTTGCACACACTGGGCAAGCTCTCTACCACTGAACCAAATCCCCAGGCCTTGACTTTTTGAGACAGGTCTCACTATGTAGCCCAGTCTGGCCCCAAACCCTCAACTCTCCTGCTTCAGCTTCCTGAGTTCTTGGATTAAAACATGTACCACCACACCCAGATTAATTGATGCCTTTTTTTTTTCCCCAGACACCTTGTTCCCCAGTTGGTGCCTTTTAATGAAAGACTTTTCGTTACGTTTTCATTTTCATCTGCAGTGATTTTTCCGCCCTTTCTTGACTCAGTTTTGGTTCACTTTTTGTCAGAAGATGGCCCATCGCCTGATGCTGGTTGCTCACATCTGTAATCCCAGCTACTCAGGAGGCAGAGATCAGGAGGATCGAGGTTCAAAGCCAACCAGGCAAATAGTTCAAGACACCCTATCTTGAGGAAACCCAACACAAAGCAGGGCTGGTGGAGTGGCTCAAGTGGTAGAGTGCCTGCCTAGCAAGCGTGAGGTTCCAACCCCAGTACTGCCAAAACAAAAGATGGCCCACCATCTCTGGCTGTTAGAGAACTACTGTGGGGCAATACCTGTGGCCTACAGCTCCTTCCTTCTCCTTTGGCCTGGGATTGTCTGTCCTTCATTTGTAGGTAGTTTTCACTGGTGTTAGATTCATCTATGTGCTGTAGTTTTCACTGGTGTTAGATTCATCTATGTGCTGTGATGTGGGATTCATCTTACTCTGTCCTTCCTCACGGGCTATGAGCACATTGACTCTGTTCATCATTATGATGAGAAAAAGATCCCCACTTTAGTAAGATTAAAAAATTAAAAATTACTAAAGCATGGAAAGCCAGTGGTCCACAGGAAAGTTAGTTCAACAGTGAGGTTCTCTTATTTCTCAGATTTAAAAGTTTGACAAAAGGCCTGGGGTGCAACTTAGTGGTGGAGAACATGCCTAGCCTACAGCAGGCTCTGAGTTCAACCCCCAGCCCTGGAAAGAGAAGGGGAAGGAAGGGTAACCTCAGGGATATGGGAAAGGCGTATATACAAAGATGGTCTGAAATGTTCACAATAGCAAGAGAATGACTGGGAATGGTCCAAACAGGGATAGTTCATCCCAGGAGCATGGGAACCCAACCTGGGAATGCTGGTGGATGTCAAAAAGCACAGGGAGAGCGGTGCTCGTGGAGAACTGCAGCCCCAGGAGCTTCACACACTCGTCACCACGAAGGCCATTTTTCTGTTAGGTTCTCATCCACTGTGGGCTGATGCTTTACTGGACATGGTGAAATTGTCATGGCAGTTTTGCATTACTACCACTACTCCAACACTTATCCTCTTTTCTCCTTTACTTCCCACTTCGTCTTGGACACAGCACAGTTTTGGGCCAGCATGGCCTGCTGACCACATCACTGCATAGCGCTGTCCTGTGCGTCATCTCATGCAGGATGGTATGCTTATGTCAACAAGCAAACACACAAGAGGGGTTCCTGTGCAGGGAGGACTGGAGAAGCTGCAGCTTCTTGGCCATGTGGTAAGAAAGCAGAGTGAGAACAGAAGCACCAGTATGTTTTGGCTTGGCTCCGTCCAGCCCATGCACCCTCCCTCAGATGTCCTCCCCTTGCTGGCTGCCAAGTCCTGGTGGAAAGAGTGGGTGAGACTGATCTTTGCATCTCTACTAAGGTCATTGATCTGGTTCATAAACTGTGTGGCCATAGTCATTAAGCAGTATAGAGTGACCAGCCATGACAAAATGCCTGATCGTCTTTCAACAACATTAAAAGCATAGATCATCCTGCCGAGTTGCTGAGCTTCACCCGCTCTGTCAGCCTTCTTTCCAGGAGGCTCTCCAGCCACCTCCATAGCAGTTACCCTGAATGTTCTGTGCCACTGGCCTCAGGGATCACCTGTGCCTGCCTGAGGTCTCTCCTCGCTTATCTGCCTGGAGAGAGTGGAGGTTGATCCATCACTGACTCCAGCACACCTTCAGCCTAGGGCATCGTCTCTGTCTCTTCTGAGAGAGGCAAGTGAAGGGTCACAGGAGGGATTATGGGGTAGGTTGCCTGTGCTCAGCTCACACCCCATCCTGTGCTGTGCACACCCGAGTCAGACTGTGGAGCTGACTCCAGCTGGTGACCTTGTGGGTCCCCCTAGGGGCTGATCTCTGCCCTCTGAGAAAAGAACCATCATGGATCACCTGTTGTAGGGTAGAGGCCAAGACTAGGAGGTGACAGTGAGTCCAGCCCCAGAGCTGCAGCCTTCAGGGAAAGGGACCTGCACACAGGCCATACAGCCACAGGGCCAGACAAAGCAGATGTCCTCAGGCCCACCTCCCTCCCTTCCACACTTTCCCTCTTGCTCATGCTCTCTCAGATTTCCCAGCAATCAGAGCCCAGCAATAGATCCCAATCCCACAGGAGCTAGAACTCCTTAAAATGCTGTTTCTTCATGATTCCTGACACTTTTTTTTAAAAAAGAGTTTTGTTTTTTCTCATTATAAAAAAGATGGGAGGTAGAGGCAGGAGGAATGGGAGTTTGAAGCCAGCCCAGGCAAAGATAATGAGACCTATCTCAGAAACAGAATAAACACCTGTAATCCCAATGACCCGGGAAGCAGAAGTTGGGAGGATCACAGTCTGAAGCCAGCCTGGGTAAAAAGTTAGCGAGACCCTATCTCAACCAATAAGCCGGGTGTGGTGGCATATATCTGTAATCCCAGCTACTGGAAGACATTAGGTAGGAG